CCCCCCGCACCTGCCGGCTGAGGTAGGAGCGGAGCCGGCGAGGGCCCAGACCCCGACCTCCGTCCCCTCGTTCTAGAACGGCGTTTGGAACAGAGCGTCGCACACACGGTATGATTTGGCAATCTTTATATCCACGGTACAGCGTAACCATGCACGAAAACCAAGTGAGGGGGTATTTACAAAGGGAAATTGCACTTAACACAGGAACCGGGGGGCAAAGTCAATGAAAGGAGCTTCTCCTCCGGGCTGCATAAAGGCGCGGTGCTGTTTATAGCCTGCGAAGCCCGATGGACGACACGAGTGTGCGGTGTCTGACCAGGGTAAAGTAAGTTAACTCTTATCTACTCAAAGAGTGCAGCCCTGGAGATACTCACTGCAGGGAAGCCTTCCATTAATCGCCATTCATTAACTATCATGACACTTAAAAGAGTCTGCAAGGCAAGAGAATACAACTTCAGCCCTGATTCACTGTTTTACCTTAAGGACAGTCAGTCTTTGCCTCTAATTAACTGATTTTTTCTCTTCTTACTTGAATTTCAGGCCCCTACCCTTAATACTGGGGTTTCTTTAACACTGGGGTTTGTTCTGGTTTTAGTTTCTGAAGGAAAAAAGGCCTCCCCAAGTGACTGAGTCAATTCATAAGGATCTTCTTTCTTCTACAGTCTAGAACCTCTAACCAAGGTCTTCCTTCAGGCTCAGAAGGCAAACAATCACCAAGCACAGGTAAGACTCATCCAGTGTCAGTCCACAGGACAGATCACATCCACTGCTTCTGGAAGAGCACAGCATGCAGGAATCAAAGTGTCAGGAAGCAAAAACGCCTTCTGTACATTTTCCCAAGCAGCTTTTGGCAAGCAATGTACTCAAGGTAGAGGAACAGACCAATCCTTCCCACCCTGCTGCATGCTGTTCACACAGGAATACCCTGTTACCAGCCTTGCCACATACTGTGGGGTCATTGTAGGTGGTCTAACAGAGCAGCACCCAAACAAGGGGGATTTTTAGGATGCAGCAGTGCTTCTAACCTGCTAGAGATGCTGAGGAGGGATCATAGTGCCCTGATGGTCTCCACAGCACACACAGAAAGTAGCGATTACTCATCAACTGGGTTTTGACATTTATGCAAACGTAGAGCTTCAAAAGCTTCCTATGAACCAAACTTTCTTGGCCTGTACAGGCTACAGACAGACTCTGGTGGAGACTTTAACTCACTTAAGTCTGTAAACATCTGACTCAAGAGGAAGATAAGCATTTAGATTGAGGCAAGTCTATTTAATTAACTCAATTATACCAGTTACCTGTTCATGTGCTCACCACCAAATCACTTTTATGGGTGAATTTTGGCCTTTCTGTAAGTAGCAGAAAGAACCGTCTAATTCTGCACTGGAGGACCCATTCTAGATGATCAGTATTCTCTTCAACTGAGTAATATAAACCTTCAATTGAGGTTTATATTACTGCCACCCAGTGCTTTTTAGCATTATGTTTGAATAGATAGCTGAAAGTCATCCTCAACATCTAAGTAAAGCAAGTACAGCACAGGTTCCTTCTCTCACAGGCAACTTTCCTGCCATCAGGAGTTTTACATAAGCCAGATTCTGCCCTCAAATCCCTTATGGCAGATGGAAGAGAGCTGGAACCTTTTCTGTTTCCCCCCCCCAACAGTAACATAGAGAGCCACAGAGCCAGTGAAGCTGCAGCACGAAGCAGACCAGGTGAGGCTACACTGAACTGTTATTTTGACACCAGGAAAGTGTGTTTAAGGACTCTGGCCTATTGGGTAGCTTCCCAGAGTCAGACAGCTCTTCAACAGTTCTAGCTTCCTCAGGACAACTCCAAGTCTTACCCCCTGCAATTCCAGTAGCAATCACCAGCAGTGGGCTGGGTTGTAGCTATAGAGGAGCATACAATGCTTTCAGCACCAATGGTACTCACAATCAAAAGCATTTTTCCCTGTCTGCACACAAGATGGTTTTACCAGGTAGAACTGGTCCCATCCTGTTTCTATTGGCACTAATGGTTCTGTGCTTGGTCTAGGCAAGAGCATCTTGCACCTCTGACTGCCTGGAGAGCAGCACAGTGATCTGGGAACAAGCTGATACCTAGTCTAATAAACCAAGTGACCACAGCAGGTGAAACCACTGCTTACAGTGCTCACATCAACTGTGAGAGTTCCACAGTTGCTTCCCACACTTCAGGTACACCAAACAACCCTGCAGCAAAAGGCTCCCCACATCACCCAGCAGAGCTCAAAACCACCCAGCCCCTCTGGCATGAACAGCACAGGCCCAAAATCCACCTGCTCTGGAGGGGCTTTGGTCAATGCACAGTGAAGTTGTACAAGGGCTCTTCAATACCTGTATAATTTAATGGCATTTAAGCCCTAGACATGAACCTATTGCTTGGACTCTGAGGCAAAGTTTAGAGTCTCCCACAAAGCCAAAGACTTTAAAGAAAATCTCTTAAGAGACAAGGAAGTGACTGAACAGCTTCTTAGAGCGCACCACGTCGATTTAGAAGCTTCATGTTAAGGATAGGATTTGCAGAGTAAACACATTCATACATCACCCTCAAGTCATCTTAGCAGCTCACACTATTTCAACTCATTTAATAAAGAGTTTTGTTCAAAGGTTAAGGAGCTCAGCTCCACTAGTGCCCACCTGCTCTTGAATGAAGTATTTTCACTATCTCTGAATGTTCCACTCTGATGGGGTGCTCCTCTGCCAGCCCTGCACATCTCATTTTGGTCTAGGACCACCAAAAAGAAGATGCCCCAGTTCCCACTGGCTGCACTTTCTCTCAACAGGATGCTATTAAAGTGTTAAGAAGTGCTTCCTGAACTGGGACCCCTTTAGGGCAGAGCCTAAAGAGAAATTCTTATCCTCATTCAAAGGGATGAGGCTGCAAGAATGAACCCCTTCACCTTGAATGTATCCTCTATAAAGAAAGGTGAAAAGTGGAAGTGCTTAGGCACCATGTGCACCCTTTGCTATGAGCTACAGCCCTCTGGGTGCAGACAGTACAAAATTAAAGGCATGGGTCTGGAAGTCTTATAAAAGAAAAACCATCAGAGTTAACCGCCCTTAATTTTATTACACAACCAGACAGAACAGTTGAGACTGGAATGTCAGATTTCCCCTTCACAAACAATTCACAGTTTCCTATTTGCTTTGTATCAGGAAAGAAAAATCAACTCACTAATAGGCATCAAGTGAGGTACAATCTCAGAATACAGAGCAAAAATTCACCTGCAAATTGCTTCAGAGAGCAGCAGATGGTCTCCAACTCTTCCTTTAGATAGTTTCACCCAATATTTGCCTCATCATAACATTCAGCATGTACCAGAGGGGATGCCAAGTGTGTAAGAGCTAGTGAAAGATGAAAAGCCATCACAGAAGATGTTCACAAGCTAGCAAGAGACTGACTACACCAAGTTGTGGTAACATTCTTCCCATTCAGCAAAACAAAGTATTGTAGTAGTTAGTGCTGCTGCTGACAAATCCCTTACATCAGGTGAAATACAATCATTTGAGAGTTACAGTCTGCAATTCAGTAAAACTGAGTAAGAGGAAAACAACAGCTTAGTAGTTCTTATGTGAAGTCTTAATATTATGTATTTTAGTAGAGGTCAAGAAGATTATGCACAAGGTCAATAGTGAAAGGTCACGAAGAGGAAGTTCAAGATGGTTTTACAAAATGTATTATTGTGTTCCTCTACAACAACCAAACCCCTTACAAGTGCAGGTCTATAGGTGACATGAACATATTGCTTCACTCACTCAAACAGGGGTAGGAAAGATCTAGAGAAAAAGCAGCATGCAAAACCAAAACCAAACAAAAACCAACCCTGGAACTATAGAAGCTCCTGCTTTCCAACACTGACCTACAGTACAAAATAAGCTACTTGTACAAGTTGCAAAAGGTTTCTGAATTCAAGATGCTGGCACTTACTGTACAATAATGTGAACTGATTAACAGAAGCCATGAATAAATACTAAGCCACATCAGAGAGCCTGCACACGCAGCACAGGCATTCAGGGTGGCAGAGAAAGCAATGCAGACATACTTCATTGTTCCCAAATAAAACAAGGAAAGAGGAAGATTCCCCAAGCAGGAAACTGTAAGCTCCACAGCCAGACAAACTGTATTAGGGGTAATTACATATAAAGTAATGTTATTTTCAGAGTTCTTATATGTGTGTGCAGCCACTAAAAACCTCACTGTGAGACTTGATCAGGACAGAAACAGAGCATTTGGTAGATAGGACAGCTATTTTCTTTTAATTTCTCCCCCATGTTTACAGAAACACAAGACTGGGAGGGAAAAACCTTGTCACCTAAATGCAGTTATTTCTTCAACTGTTTTATAGTCAAGTCCCCATGGTTTCTCTCCCCAAAAAACCTCAAAAACCTTTGAGGAGAGTGTTTCATGGGATAATATCCAGCAGCAGATGTTCCAACACAAACATGTCTATCAGATCAGTGCCTACATTTCAAGCCCAAAAGTCACCACATGGAGGGGGAGTTCAGAGGCAGGGGGATGTTAGCCCTACAATTAAAGCTCTAAGATGAAAGAGGGGGAGGACTTGGGAATGGGATAAAGGAGGGAAGAGGGAGTCACTGAATCACAGGAGATAAGAAGTGCACACAAGTTTCTAAATGAAGCACAGACGAATTTGGAGGGCACAGGAGTCATCTACAGGAGGTCACAGGTTCTGACAGCACTGGAGTTTGTTGGATTTCTGTCCGTCGGTGGTTGGTGGGACACTGATGTCCACAACGTTGTTGCCAGGAGACTCGTCGTGCGCGGAGCGGTCCGCAATCTGCTTCTGCGAAACAATGCGGTAGATCTCTGCAATGAGAACACACTGCTCAGTGCACAGAAGGACGTGGCCTCCAACACAGCACACGTCAGAGCAAGCTGTCAGAGTTGATGCAAGAACCCAAGAAACGAAGATTTTAACGTGAGAAGCTGTGAAAGGGAATCTAGTCTCAGCAGCTGTGGCATGTAACATCTGGCTGGCTTTCCAGCTGTGTCATGGACACGTCAGCTCTGCCTGGAAAAGTTATTAAGATTCCTTACTGTCTTCCACCACAGTGCTTCGTATCATGTTCTTGTTCAATGACTCCATGAATGTGGGTATTATTAAAAAGCTTTTTAAATGAGAAAGGAGCAGGAATCCTAGAATGATTTGGGTTGGAAGGGACCTTAAAGCTCCTCCAGTTCCAACCCCTGCCACAGGCAGGGACACCGTCCACTAGAGACGGTTGCTCCAAGCCCCTGTGTCGACACCGCCAGGGATGGGGCAGCCACAGCTTCTCTGGGCACCCTGTGCCAGCGCCTCAGCACCCTCCCAGGGAAGAGCTTCTGCCTCAGAGCTCATCTCAATCTCCCCTCTGGCAAGATAAAGCCATTCCCCTTGTCCTGGCCCTATATCCCTTGTCCAAAGCCCCTCTCCAGGTTTCCTGGAGCCCCTTTAGGCACTGGAGCTGCTCTAAGGTGTCCCCTTGAGGAGCCTTCTCTTCTCCAGCTGCCCCAGCCCAGCTCTCTCAGCCTGGCTCCAGAACAGAGCTGCTCCAGCCCTCGCAGCAGCTCCGTGGCCTCCTCTGGCCTCACTCCAGCAGCTCCACATCCCTCTTGTGCTGTTGCCCCAGAGCTGGATCAGGGCTGCAGGGGGGGTCTCCCCAGAGTGCAGCAGAGGGGGAGAATCCCCTCCCTCAACCTGCTGCTCACGCTCTGGGGGTGCAGCCCAGCACACGGGGGGGTTCTGGATCACGGGAAAATCCTCATTTCTAAAGTAGGGAATCATTTTTAATTAAAAATCAAGGCAGCACAATTAGACACCCCAATCAACAGGATGCAGAACGTCATTGTGCAGCAGCAGTGACAAGGTCTCTATTTCACACTTTAGCTTCTGGCAAGCTGCTGCTACTACCAAATGACAGAAGTGCCTACTCCTCCCTGCAACAAATCCGTTCCCCCATCTATGACAGTAAAAAGCCACATGGTCCCATAAAGCTCCACATTGATCCAAAAATGCTTTTCCTGAGAGATGAATTTGACTCAAATTAATCTATGCCTGAAAGCACAAAGCTGTAACTACCAAAGAGAAACTGCCAGGGTCAAAGCCTTCAGAAACAAACCATTTCAACTGCAGGGAGTAGAAATCGCTTCAGTTGAAAACTTTTTAATCTACGTATTTCACCGACTACAGTCCTTGCTCCAACTTCCCTCTATTGTGAAACAGGAAAAGGGCAAGGACCTCCCTGGAAATCTGTGGTAAATATTATGGTCACATTCATGCAGCCACAGCCTCAAAACAGCAACACCCAAAGTCTTCAGTGAGGATTAAAAATCATGGGGAACTCTGTGGGGTTTGTTTATGTGTTTATTAAGAAGTGGACATATTTACACTGTTTAAAATGGAAACCTTTAACCAAAGGTGATCTCATTCCCACTGGCTCTTACCTTCAGCTTTTTTTGCTGGTTTGGGGTTTCTTTAGTTTTGGTGGGGTTTTCTTTGGTTGTTTGGGTTCCCACCCCAGCCTTTAGTGAGCCCCCAAACTGGTGGCCAATAAGGAAACTCCTGTCCTGCTGCTCCCACTCTCTTCCCTCCTCCAACTCCCTCCATGGTTGCTCCCAACTCACTGCTTTGCACAGCACATTTTCCCAGCTTTCTTCTCCTCACTTAGAAGGATGATTCTTCCCCAGGTAATCACTTTAGGAATGGCCTTCGCAGGACTACAGAGTCTCACTAACTACATCCCCACTGTACCTGAACAAGTCAATCTCAACACTTTTGGGAACGCAGGAGGCTGCTAAGAGATAGTGTGTTGAGTTCAGTTTATTGGTTTATTTTACTGGCCTAGAATTCAGCTATGGTAAGGAATAGACAGGAATTGGATCTTGCCAACTGCTCATGTTCACAGTATGGATCTTAAAGAGCTTTTCAAGAAACAGAACAAATATCCTGACAAATTACACAGCACTTTCCCCTCTCAGATTCCCAGCCTGGTTTGTGTTGGAAAGGGCCTTAAAGCTCCTCCAGCTCCAACCCCTGCCACAGGCAGGGACACCTTCCACTAGAGCAGGTTGCTCCAAGCCCCTGTGTCCAACCCGGCCTTGAACCCCGCCAGGGATGGGCCAGCCACAGCTTCTCTGGGCCCCCTGTGCCAGCGCCTCAGCACCCTCCCAGGGAAGAGCTTCTGCCTCAGAGCTCATCTCAGTCTCCCCTCTGGCAGGTTCAAGCCATTCCCCTTGTCCTGTCCCTCCAGGCCCTTGTCCAAAGCCCCTCTCCAGGTTTCCTGGAGCCCCTTTAGGCGCTGGAGCTGCTCTAAGGTGTCCCCTTGAGGAGCCTTCTTTTCTCCAGGCTGCCCCAGCCCAGCTCTCTCAACCTGGCTCCAGAGCAGAACTGCTCCAGCCCTCACAGCACCTTCATGGCTCTCCATCAGGAGGCTAGAAACCTCCAGGTTCTCAAGCAGAAAGCTATGTGTGGGGTGGGAAGCAGAACACAAAGCTAAGATTAGAAGGCTTGCAAACTAACCATCATTCCTAACACTTCCCAAATATTCTAGGTAACTACAAAACATGCCCATGAAGAAGATCTACTACCTCAGGAGATCCTCCAAAAAACAAAGGCATACCTGTAAGGATGTTCTTGAAAGCTTCTTCTACATTTGTTGAATCCAGAGCAGAAGTTTCAATAAAAGATAAGTTATTTTTCTCTGTAATAGATAAGAAGTGGTTCAATTAAAAATTGTAATATCACTTCATTTCACATTTACTTTGAGGTTTTCACTTTAATTTTTAGGCCAAACCAGATGGGGCACAGTCTTTTTTGTTTTCCTGTTACATTAGGAACTTGGTGCACCCATTATTTAGCTGCTGGTGTTTCAGCAGTGTCCCCTTTGACCACTTGTGAGAACGCTGTCTTCACCACAGCCCTTGTTCATAGAATGGTTTGGGTTGGAAAGGACCTTTAAGATCATCTAGTTCCAACCTCCCCCCCACCATGAGCAGGGACACATCACACTAGACCATGTTGCCCAAGGTTCTGTTCAACCTGGCCTTGAACACTGCCAGGGATGGAGCATTTACTGCTTCTTTGGCCACCCTGTTCCAGCACCTCAGCACCCTCACAGGGAAGAACTTCTGCCTTAGATCTAACCTGAACTTAAACTGTTTAAGTTTGAACGAATTCCTCCTTGTCCTATCGCTCCAGTCCCTGATGAAGGTCCCTCTCCAGCATCCCTATAGCTCCCTTCAGACAGTGGAAGCTGCTCCAGCAGCTTCTTTTCTCCAGGCTGAACAGCCCCAATGTTCTCAGCCTGCCTCCATACGGGAGCTGCTCCAGCCCCCTTGTTCAACAATGCAAAAGACAGTATTTTTTTCTTTAAAGAAAACCAGATTGTGATTAACACCTAAACATCACACCTCGAATGACACTGTACCTGCCCAGAAACAGGCAAATTTCAGTCACAGAGCTCATGGTAACCCCTGTACCATCATTAGCTATTTAAAACCAGCCTTAGCAGGAAGCCTGGGGCAAAAATAAGATGATGAACCAAGTAATGCACTCTGCAGGGTGCCTACCAACTTGTTGCTTCTCTTACATAGACTGCAACTCTCATTCATCAGAAATTCATAGTGGTTTTACTAGTAACAGGGTACTTGCTTAATACCAAACTTCCAAACACATTTAAGCAAGCCTTAGCAATATTCCTAGAAGGATTTTAAAGGCTATACATTCAAATTCCACCTCCAAGCTTGACAGCCACACAAAATGAAGCTGAATGTCCCATGCCTGGCCTGTACAGGCTCTGCAGCATAAGGAAGAGTGTAAAGTAATGCAGCAGCTCACAAAACCTACTTGATTTCTCCCAAGAAAGACTCAGGAATCTGGAGTCTTGGAGATCACCAGTCTCCAAGTCTGATAAATGAAACTAGATGACACTACTCTATGCATCAGTGCTCTGGAGCAGAAACTTCACCACCTAGAAGGTTCAGTATTCATTTGCTGCTGTCCACACTGACCTGTACCTCAGCAGAACCAGCCCTCTAGGAAGGAAGGAAGGAAAGACATTTTGGGCTGTGATATTCTGTACTTCTGTTGTGACATTTTCTCTTCTAAATGTTGCTCACTGTGTCCAGCCCTGCTAGAGGAAGTGTTTACTCTGCAGCTATCAGCAGCTCAAGGACAGTTTCAAAAACCATGTACTACCACTACATTGAAAAACAAAACAAAACTCAAACCCACAAACCCAACCAACCACACGCACAATTCTGTAAACCAAGAGATTTTCACTTTTAAGACAATCTTAAAGGCCTTTTTTAGGGTCAAAAATAAACTTGAGGGGAAAGATCAGTCCTGGCTAACAGCTTGCAACAACACCATCACATTCAGAAAGCACAGACCCAGCAGCACTGGTTACGAACCTGCAAAAGCCCGGGCCTCATCGGTGGGCACAGCTCTCAGGTGGCGGAGGTCACTCTTGTTCCCCACCAGCATGATGACAATGTTGTTGTCTGCATGATCTCTAAGCTCCTTTAGCCAGCGCTCCACATTCTCATAGGTGAGATGTTTGGCAATGTCATAGACAAGAAGAGCCCCAACAGCACCACGGTAATATCTGAAACCATAAGGCACAATCCTTTAGAGAGTTCTGCCTGAGCTCCACCAACAAACCTTGTGGTTTGTTATCTGGCTCTTCTATACTGGTTACTACAGGTTGGGCCCATTTCAACTCAAAAGCCAAGGGCTCAGGACAGCACAAACCAGTCAGTACCAGCAACCCTGTAACATCCACAGCTCTCTTCCACACAATCCCACCACTTCTCTGCTCCACCAGCACCTGGCTGCCACATCACTGAACTGATTCAGGACACCAAGTCAGCAGAAAACATTCCCCTTCTACTGCTGGTTGGTGTTGTGCTGGCTCAGCAAGCTCAGCTGGCCAGACCATGTGTCAAGCAAAAGCTTGTGCCAGCACAGAAAGGCAGGAGCACAGGACTAAGGATGAACTGCTTCTCATCAGCCAGCCTGTTGTGGAACCAGACTTGGCAGCAGTTTTCATGCTTTTCCAGCAGCAAGAGCAACTTAAGGGTCCCAAACCAGAAAATACATTTGAAAAACACACTAACAAGATGCACTTTGAAATCACCACTTACATCTGCTTCTGCATTCCTTTGGTTTGCATTCCTTTCCTAGAGGTTATTCCCTTTGGACTCCATGCTCTTCTTCACTGTCCTCCCATCTATTCTGCATTACTCTATTTCACCCCAATGAGAAAGTTCCACTTACCTCGAGGCTAACACAAATGGCTCAATCTGTGCATGATTCAGAAACAAGTCAGTCCCTTTTAAAACTAATATACATCTGTAACACTAAATTTCAATTCACTGATTAGAACATGCCCTGGATAACCAGGCCTGCCAATAAGGTTCTCTCCCACCCTGTCCCCCCAAATATACTTCTGCCTACTACCTGCATAGAACAGCTATACCCAGAGGTTACATCTTAAGACACTGGCTGGATTAACAAGGTGCTGTGCATAAAAGCTTCTCAGCACCACTGTTCTAAACAGGGATGTGCCTAATTCTGCACAGTCAGTAGTACCACAGTTCCCTTCCTTACTGGTTATTTGGCATGCACTCTTGGACCTAATATTCAGGGCTGTGACTAATTCGAAGTCATTGAGGTTTCAGGGGAGTTTGTGGCTTCAGACTGTCCTAAAAATGCCCTCAGTCTCAAGATTGAGGAGGCAATGGAGACCAGAAGCCACCGTGCCTACACCACAGCTTGATGCCAAACAGCATCCAGCTTCAGCATGGGGAATGAGTGCCATTTCTGATGGAAGACAACACATTCAGGGCAGGTAAAAAACCCACATCACAAGACTCAAAACAGGTCGTCCTACCCTTTTGATTTAAGCTGTCATTTTTTTCTGTAATACACTAAAAATGACTTTCATTATATTAATCAAAGAACACAAAAGTATTTGCTATCTTAGGACTTGGATCTACATCGAAGCCTGTCATAATGATTTTGTCATAGATCCCAAATGTGTTTCATTAATTCTCTTAGCCATAAGTTTCTCTGCACCAGCTCTGCTAGAACTCTGCTCTCAGCCTGAGCAAAGCCCTGGTACTCACGCTGAGGTAATGGCACGGTATCGTTCCTGTCCTGCAGTATCCCAGATCTGGGCTTTTATCGTCTTCCCATCCACCTGGATGCTCCTGGTGGCAAATTCCACCCCAATGGTGCTCTTACTCTCCAGATTGAACTCATTGCGTGTGAAACGGGACAGGAGGTTACTCTTCCCAACTCCAGAGTCTCCAATCAACACAACTGAAAGAAAAGACAGTATTGTAGATATTAATTCTTCATCCCAGCATTTACACCCTGCAGTGGAGCTACTTGGCTGCTACGTTGCCATGCAGGACCCAGGAGTTGCAAGCTAGATAAACAAAGAAGAGAGTTACACTGATGCCACCTTTCACTACTCATAGCTTGCTTCCCAAGCCCCCAAAGGACCCCCAAACCCACACGTTAGCACTAAAGTCAAGAACATGGCAACAGGCTGACAAAAGCCTGCGTACAGTATAAACCTACTCTATTTAAAAAAATAGAAAGCCACAGTAAGTGGAATTAATTCTTTGCAGATCCTTTTGGGGCCATACAGGTTGTTTTATTTCAATAATTCATAAGTATCTTCACCACAAAAAGGGGAAAATAGGAGATATTTGATCCTACAAATAGGATACAAAGCAAAGCAGGACTTGAGCCAGCAAAACAAGCTCTTGGAGGTTGCAGGAGAAGGAAAAGATGAGCTCAAAATCTCTGCCTCCACACGAGGTGTTGCCATGTTAACAGAGGAATGGTAGTGCAGGGAGATCTTTAGCACACACACCCCGGCTTTACTGAAAGGAAAAGATAAAAGGTACATCTTGTAGTAGGAGTTTCCCCCTCCTTCAGGGCTGCAGCTCTGCCATCCTGCTGCTTCACACCCAGCCACACTGCACCAGGCTGTCCACGAGACCTCATCCTCAACAGCTCCAGAGACAGGATTTGATACTCCAGGTTATTATTTGTGTACGTGCATTAGCTCCATTTTCTTAAATCCCTGTATTACTGCCCAGAGCAAAAATAACAAAAGGGAAACAGACTAAAAGCAATTAAGCCACCTCCCACAGTCACAGCAAATCCTGTGTCACATATGCCTTTGGGATTCAAGCTAACAGCACCCTGGTTTGAGCAAAGGCAGTCACTGTCAGGAAGTTCCTTCAACCTTGGGAATATGCCCTTCTCCAGTACGAATTTGTTGATCTTCCTCATTCAACAATCTGTTTTTCCTATAGAAAAGCAAACACAGGCAGAAAACATCCCTGATCCCTCCACAACAGATTACAGATGACTCTTGTCATTCTACACTTCCAGCATAAGCTCACCAGAGTTCTCCCAGGGTTAAGGATCATACTCCTCTTTCAGCATTATCACAGGGTTTTGCTGCTGAGGCTGTTGTTTCAGGACACAGCCCTGGCAGCACACTGCCAGCACATTCCCAAACTTCTGCTGTAGCCCTCTTACAGCTCCGGAGCTGTGCCGGGAGATGGCTGAAATGCTCCCAACTCCCCCCTCGCCTCATCTGGCTGAGGGCACAGACAGACAATTGTGCTGGCACAGCTGAACAGTCAGAGCACAACAGAGGCAGGAACAGGCAGCTGGTGGGTCCCATGGCCACAGGCAGGAACAGGCAGACACAATGTCCCACCTGGGATAACTTAAATCAGCTCCTCACACTGCTCTGCCCCCACCAGCAAACAGCAGAAACCATTTCATAGGGTAGAATCCCAGAATCCCAGACTGGTTTGGGATGAAGGGACCTTAAAGCTCCTCCAGTTCCAACCCACTGCCATGGGCACGGACACCGTCCACTAGAGCAGGTTGCTCCAAGCCCCTGTGTCCAACCTGGCCTTGAACACTGCCAGGGATGGGGCAGCCACAGCTTCTCTGGGCACCCTGTGCCAGCACCTCAGCACCCTCCCAGGGAAGAGCTTCTGCCCCAGAGTTCATCTCAATCTCCCCTCTGGCAGCTTAAAGCCATTCCCCTTGTCCTGGCCCTACAGGCCCTTGCCCAAAGCCCCTCTCCAGGTTTCCTGGAGCCCCTTTAGGCACTGGAGCTGCTCTAAGGTTTCCCCTTCAGGAGCCTTCTCTTCTCCAGTGTATGAGAACATATATATAAAGAGATTTTAGGAGGCGTTCTAACTCTAGGATTCTGTTAGCTCTATTTTCCAGACCAACAGTTTCTCATCACTAATTCCACCGGGTGTTCCAAAGCTCACCCATCTTACACAGTGATCTGCTGGCTTAGGGGAGGCTGTAGCCTACTTCAACGTCCTGACCATGAGAAGGAGGAGGTGAGAACATCCAGCATATAAGCTAGACCAGCTCAGAAAAAGCCTGAAGTTTCCAGCTGTTTCCAAAGGGAATTACCTTCTCATCAATGTGCAGCTGGAGAAAGCACAGCCTCCTCTCCAGGTTCTGGCCACCTCCTATCCTCTGGTATTTTAGAACCATCAGCTTTGTGCATAAACCATGCAAATGGCTCTCAGGTCAATAACTCCATCTGTCACAGGAAGAAATTCGGGGGGTCCTGAGCTACTGTAACTGGTTATTTGCCTCAGCTGCAATAACCAGGCAAAGCTGCAGCAAAGCACCAGGCTCCCCCTCTCCCAGGTTGCTCTGGGTCCTAGCAGGGCTTGTAAGAGAGGAGTTTCTGGATGCAGAAGTAACAAAGGAAGGCAGCCAGATCCCAACTCAGGATGTTCCCTCTACCTTATAGCAGTGTATCCTTAATACTCAACCTTGAGCATCAAACAGGCATTTTCACTGTCAGGAGAAAGAGACAAAGACTGAAAGTGCACAAGAACAGTATCCACAAACTTTTGTTTTCTCCAGGAATCAAGCAAGGAAGATACCTTCCAGATTCTGGCCCAAGTGATTAGACCTCGATAAAGTTCCTACACTTGGGAACAGGCCACCAGACAGCACTGCCTGTTCATATGCACAAGTCTTGACAGAGTAGAAAAGAAAATCATGAATCAGATCTCAGAGCCTGAATCCTAAACACATCTCACCAGAATCAACAAAGTCTCCTTCACCTCACTGTGGCTTAAACTCTCATCAGAGCACTCTAAAATCCCACAAAGGTAAAAGCAAACTCCCTTTTCCCCTGGGTGTTTTTTCCTTCCTTTTTCACGAGCCAGCATCAGATTGAAAATAAACCCTGATACCAGGTCCTCTGCTGGAGAGGGACATTTATGTGCACATCACATTTGTGTAGCTACAAGGCTTCCAGTATTTTAACTACTATTAAAAGCTCATGAATTTTGTTCCAGATCAAACCCATTCAAAACTCATCATGAGAAGCTCCTGCTTTTTTTAACCATCCCAGCTAGAAACCCAGACAGGAGCAGAACCTGGAGCCAGCAGCTTGGCTTGGCCTCCAGCGCCAAAACACATCCCCAGGATCCTCATTACACTGGACAGCCCCACAGACAGAACCCAGCTCAGTCACTTTTGGTGATCAATACAATGCGCACTTCTGACTTACCGGGATGCAGGCAGAAGAAAGGGAAATTGGGAATAAAGATAAAGAGGCCCTGGCTTAGCAGAGCAGCTTTGACTATGACCACACTCACACCCTCAGAGGGCTACCAAACCTTAAATTAGTTTTTGCCAGACCCAATAAGCCAATTGGTGCTGGGCTCTCTCAGTGGAAACGGCTGGTCCTGAAGCAGAAGCTGATGGACACCATGAATGAGGGAACACCAGGAACAGCAAGCCAGTTCCACACAGACTGTTGCTACAAACTCCTTGGCCATTTTCACCCTGAGCCAACTGATTTATAGGCACTATTTCACATGAAAGAGACTAACACTAAATGGGGCCCTTTGCCTTTTAACCTTTGCATAAAGCTGATTAATACAATCATAGAATCCCAGCCTGGTTTGGGTTGAAGGGACCTTAAAGCTCCTCCAGTTCCAACCCCTGCCACTGGCAGGGACACCTTCCACTAGAGCAGGTTGCTCAATCGATGCTAAATGACAAAAGTCCCTGCACAAGCAGCTCCAGATCTTTCACTATATTAAAATCAAAGTAAAAACTGTGACTTTAAAGCGACACTGCATTCAACTGGAGCGTCCTAAGTAATATTACCACACAAGGATGCAAACTTCTGACACAAGTGCAACTGCGTCCCAGCCAAATTTCCTTTGGAAACAGGGGGCAGTGGAAATGGTCAAATCTTAAATTTCATAAAAACAATCTTTCCTAGATTCCTCCATTGCTATTTCTACCTCTGACACCACACAAACCAGACAGAAGACAGTTCAGAAACCATGTATGTAGCTAAGAAGGGGACTAAACCAGAAGCCAACCAAACCCCTGGGCATGATTTTTCTTCGTGACATCAATCCCCTTTGATATTTAACTCCATTACTGGCCGGGGCAGGAGGAAAAGGAAGGGGAGATGGTCCTGCAGCAGAGATGTCATCCCACTTGGTCCCGTTTATATTCATTAAGTCTTGCCTAGTCCCAAAAAGCCAAGAAGGAAGGAAGGAAAAGGAGTGTTTATTTCCCAAAGCAAACCCACACAACTACCCCTACCCAAAAGACACATAGAAAAGGACAATTCTCCCCCCATTTTTCATTAAGTGCTACAATCTCCATTCCTCTGCAGCAGCAACACAGCAGGATGGTTCATGACCAAATAGCTTGAGGTGAAGTTTCACTCCAGGTAGAATTCAAATTGCATTTCAAAGGTGAATGCAGTTTTGCCTAATTGACTATTCACAGAAAGAAAGAAAAGAAGTAAAATGTTTAGCCTTTCAAGTTCCTGCCTTTTAAACCACTTGGGAAATAGATGGTGGATTGACTTCAGAAGGAAACTAGTTTAGCCCCAGACAGTTGAGCATATTGTTGGAGTTTAGTCTTGTGCTTTATAGACAGAGAAGAAACCAGGGGGTTTTCCACCCTCACTATCCCGAAGGCTGCAAAGCAAACACACGGAGCAGGCAAACACATCCAGCCAGGATTTCCAACAGAGGAGCAAAGGCACGAAGCAAACATGGAGGCAGACGTGTGAGACCCATCCACACCACTGCTCAGGCCTCAAAGGCAGA